ACTTTTCTTATCAGACAAAATATCCCCACTGAACTGTAGCATATTTAATTACCGGTATTTCATTTGTAATTGTTTTAAACCATTGTTCATTTGCTTTTTATTTTATTTTATGCGTACATAGTTATTTTGTTTGGTTGACTCTCTCAGGTTAGTTGAGTGCACAATATCTAAAGAAAAAAACTTTAACTTGTATTCTTGATTCGTGTTTTGTAAATTTTCCAGAAAAGTGCTTGGGATACTAAAAGTCTTAAAAAGGGTAACGTGGTCTTAATACTCATAGATGTTGTCTGTACTACTGATAGCATGTATGAGTGTGAGATGGTGGTGCATGGTGATGGATGTTCCAGACCGTTGAAACATGACGACATTTTCCAGCAATACCTTAATCTTCTGTTACACCACTTTCCTACTGGCCAAAAAACCTGTTTAAACCCAGGAACAATTGACCTCTAGTGGTTGTAGAAACAGCTCACAGACATGCATTGAACTGTCTCAAACGACACGGCAAGAGATCCATGTTAGAATAGCCTTCAAACATCTTGGTTCCGATAGTCAGGCAGTGGGAACATCAGACCTTTGGTCAACACGCTAATTTATGAAAACCCATTGAGCGTACAGACGTCAACTCACTGTGCAAGTCGTGTCAGATCAAACAAACCAAAACAACTCAGTTTACATTCGAAAAAACATGGCGCAGCACTGGTGAGAGAGATGAGACAGGACAAAAGAAGGGACTATAATGAACACTTAATACACCCTATCTTCTTTCCATTTTGCTCTCAGATATTCACTTTCCTAAATACTGTCGCACTCGTGACATCATCAATGCTAACCAAGCATGATGGTGTCACCAGACATGAAGCATTAGGGGCATAGAGGCCACACAGCTTGCCAGCATGGGGTCAGACCCAGCTTTTTTGCCAATGGGAAATGTAGCCAAACGTCGATTGTTAGCAGGTTGACCAGTTTTTGAAAAACCAGAGTTAACCCATTAATTTCAGTGGGAGAGTTATCAGGATCAAATCCTTGGACTGATTTTGTGTTCGCAAGTTTTGTCAAATCTATTGATGGCAGGCTATTCTAATAATAAAGTTAGAAAGGATTGCAAGTATGGAATGCATCCCTCCCATAGAAGCTAACCATGACGTAACATGAGTGTATATAGTCTAGCATGTGACTCTAAATTGTTGTTATTTTTTATTTTATTCTATGTATGAGAAGATTTCTGAAATTAAAAATTTCAGGTGAAATGTGGTTGACAACAGGCTCAGATGATGTCTTTAAATGCCAGCCAATCTGTTTAGAAGCTTCTGGAGTTTCAGGGGCACTGTATTTATTCAATGTGCTTTATCTCTGTCGGCAGATCTAAATTTACAAGACAATAAATTATTGAGGCTCTGGATTTCTGGCACACAAACTAGGACCTGCTCGACACAGAGGACTAAATATCTTTAAGGTCTGTGTGTCATGTTCGAGTGCCCAGGACAAAAGTGCAGACCGACACTTGGAAGCAGCATGGTAAGTTATGATAATTTAATGAAATAATGGCAACAGAAGTAGAGGAAAAAAGTGTAGAGACATGAAGCAAACCAAGGACACAATGAATACTGATGGCAAACTGAAGCATTGTAATGGATTAACAGGTGGAAACAATGAGTAAAAGAGGAGACATAGGTGAATGGAATCTATGAACCAACAGAAGGCTCTGGCTGATGGAGAAATTATCAAAAATGGGAGGAAGGAACTAAGAAAATCAACCCAACAATAATGAAGACGAGAAAAAAAGTAAAGGCAAACCCAACTAAAAATACAAAGAAAAAAAAATAGAAAACTAGAAAACAGCCAGTAAAAAATAAACAATCCAGTATGGCAAACACCAAATTAAGAAAATATATGGAAAGTTATCATGAACCAAATCAAAGTTAACTTGTAGATCCTGATGCATTCTAACTTTACATTAGTTTCACAAATATACAATGTCCAATGATTTTAATGAAATGATTATCTGATTCAGTTCTTGCTATTCTATAAGTACAGCTAATTTATAAAACAGAAATTTAGCCCAAGCTTAATCACTCTCTGCATTTTTGCTACAGTGGAAGCATAAACATTATAAAATTGAACGGAATAAGAACCTTTATAGTATTAGATTTGTTATCAGAATTATAAGCTAATTACCATAACAATTAGGATAAGTATGAAAGCTTTTTTTTCATTTCCTCATAAAAACATGGGTTAACATTTGAAATTTGTTTTGAGAAAGGCTTGCAAGTATTCCATTTGTTTCATATTCCATATGAATATGTGTAGCACAGAAAAACAGCACAAAACTGGTGAAGGTGTTGGCTGAATCAGGAAGGAGGGTTGTTATTACCCACAGTGAAATAAAGCATGTACTTTTATGGGTCAATTGGTCCTTTAGTGAGAACAAAACTCTAAAAGCAATATAAAAAGACAGACTACAGTTTGCAAATTCACTCTGGGTCAAATATCACAATTCTTTGGAGATATGTCCCGTGGTGTGAAAACTTTCAGGTTTTTTTGTTTTTTTGAATCAAGATAACTATTTATAAATGATAAGAAAAGTAGATAGCATCCCACTGAGATGTACAGGGGTGGCAGAATCATGTTGTGAGGGTGTATGAGGGTGTTTAGCAGTGACTGATGGACAAAATAGATGGAATCGTAAGGAAGGAAAATATAAAAACAACAAGACATCCGCCATGAAGTTAAAACATGGGCACAAATTGTTCTTCAATTAGTTCCAAATTATTACACACTGGCTAAAAGACTTACATTTAAAAATATTAACCTTTCCTTCTTCACTTTTTGTCACGGTAGTACAGGGAACCAGTCCAGTCCCCATGCTCGAGGGGATATGAATACCCACTGAGCTCATCTTTGGACCAGTGACTCATGGTATCCCAAAACATAATCCCCACAGAGGACACATTACTGAGCTATTAGTCCAACTCTTCCACCTGGACAAAATGCCTCAAGTTCATTCACATATTCCTAACTGCAACCGCATTTGAATATAATCCTCAGTAATTCTAATGTTAAATCTTATGTCACTGTAAATTTCCCCTTTATCCCTCTTTCCCTCCAATACGTAGTTAATAAAAACAAATAAAAATGCATCCCCAATAACTAGTTTTCCTCTGCAGAGACAGCTGTCATATTGGATCCAGCATATCACAGTAAACGTTTCATCTGTCTGACAGGGAGGCACTTGACTCTATTATTGTTTATGGAGAAAAACCTGGAGTCAAGCTAACTGGCGAGGAGAAAGACACAGGAGTTCCAGGTCTGGCCCTGGGAGGGAGAGCATAACTCAATGTGTTTGTACTTCCTTAATTCCTTTTGATTTAGCAGAAAACTGTGCCAAGCTGCTGCGTACAAATATTCTCCAAATCTGTCCGTTAAGGTGGTCAAAATTAGTTTTTTCAATCTGTCAGCCTTGACCTGTCTGGTCGAGCTATAAGCAGAAACACCAAAGTTTCTGAGAAGCTTAGCTTTAACACTTGCTTTGGCATAAATACTGGGCTGTTTTCTTAAGTGTTTTTTTAGAAGTAGCACTTTGCAAAAGCTTTCCGTAATCTAATAGTTTCAATTCCGGCAGGGATTTTACTCCTTTGTTTGCTTGTTCATTAGCATTAATGAGGTCAGCTGAATCAACAAACTAAGTATTACAGGAGTGCAGGAGTTCAGATGCTGTTAAGTCCGTCAAAAAAGGCAAGTGTGTGTTTTAGTCTGTGATTTCTCAGATGCTCTTCGAGGATCGGAATAATCCAAAATTTGATGTAGAAGAGTTCAGAGATGATCTAAATAAACCAATAAAGTTTCAGAAGGTAAGCATGGTTGAGCTGAGAAAAATAATGTGTATGTGTTTGACCACTGTCTCAGCATTCTGCCTTAAACATATGGTTCCTGTTTAGGCCATGGTGCTATTTCAGTGGACATGTTGGCACTGTTCTCTATTTTTTCCTCACATTTTAGCCTTAAAAAGCATGGGGCATGTAAGGGCTTGCTTCAATTTCCATGACATTTGCTGTTATGGTTGTTTTGCTTTGTTTTTGTGCTGCTGTAGTGATTCTTGCTGTCATTTTGCTGGCATCTCCACCATTTTTGTCTTCTCAAAATTGCCATGGCCTGTCTACTCTGTTCCTTGAATCAGACATGGCCTGTCATGCAATCAGGTTGATAATCAAGTATAGAACAGAAAGAATATTTTACTTTTTCTCTTCTTTTAGAGTAAATCTGACACGATTCTCTGAAACATAACATTCTGAATCTGAAAAATATGTTGTTGTTTTTTTATGTTGCTAGTAAGTTGATGTATAAGAATATTGCAATGCAATGATATCCTTACATTTTAAACCAATAAGAACAGCAACAGCTAGGTATTTTATTGGGCTCACTGCTTTGGTTTAGATGTAATAGGAAGACATGAAAACTGTTCTTCCCAAAAGGTGCTGTCTCTTTTTTAAAGAACATTGGTCACAATATTCAGCTACAATTGTGCACAAGCTGGGTTGTAAAATTGCAGTTGCATGCAGTTTTATTTCAGAAATCAAAAACTATGCAGCCCCCATCCTCTGTTATTCACAATAAGTGACTTTGAGTTGTTTTATTTAAAAAAATCCCAAGATAATGTGTTGAACTATTTTTTTTTATAACGTTGACCTGTTGTCATTTAATATTCTGTAAAATTAAATATATCTATGACAAATATTTATGTGTTGGTTCTAATCTTTTTTTATATATACTGAAGCTTATTAAGTAGTAAATTTGAGATAAACTATACAAACCTTCACATCAGCAGCCTAATCATCCTTAAGAGTTCACCTTCCCTCCTTTTAAACATCTCCTACTTAGTCAAACCCTGTAACCTCTTCTTCCACCCAATGAGAAAAGGAAGCTGTCCACAGCAAGCCCTCCCTCATCTTCTCCCTCTCTCCTCCTCTCCCTCTCAACTCGGATTTTTATCCAACGTGCGCCAATAAAGGAGAGCATCCGACCCAGCAGAGAGTCCCACAGCAGGCTAGGAAGCGGACACTCAAACTCTGCAAACTTTTACTCCTGCTCTTATTCTCGGAAACTATCCTCACTTAAAAAAGTGAAAAAATAATTGAATAAGAAAAGGAAGAATCGGGTATAGGGGGCTTCTCGTCGTTTTGGTCAGGTAAGGCTCCCGATTGGCATCCAGAAGTTCCCAGAGGAGACTCTGGTGCGCACATGGTTCCACAAATGAGCTCCTCTATCTGCTGACAGGCGCGCACCCCGCAATCAAAATCTGGATAACGAGACCTTTAACTTTTTAACTCTATAACTCACAACAAAATAACAAGCTCTTCAATCTGGAGTAAGGATTTATCTCTCCTTCCCCTTCTTCACCGGAGGGGCAAAAAGACAGAAGCCATGCTGGGTTTAAGGAGGATTCCTGGCCTGCGCGCAGCTCGGATTCAGCGCGCTGCTTCCTCAGGAGCTGGACTCTCATATCGGAACCAAGGTGCCAATTCAAGGATGTACTGTGCTTGTCTATTACTGCTGCTGCTCGTGACCCCACGCGTGGATTCTTCATGGTGGTGAGTGCACATCCATCAGAAAGATTTCCTTAAAATTCCTTCCTTAAAATTGATGAGAAATATAAAAAAAAAATATGCTGAAGAAACTGAAATACAAAAACCGACAGGGGACAGGTGCATTGAAATGAATGAAATAATAAGGTAACTAATTTTATTGTATTTTGGAAACAGAATAAAGTTTAACTTTATTTTTTTACTTTATTATCACTGCATTTTCTAGTAATTTCGTTCAAATGTATAATGTTCTAGCTTCTGAAAATTTACTCTACAAAAGTGGTATTTCACGGGTAAATGGAAGCAAAAACACTCATGTTGTTTTTCAGTCATAATTTCATTTCAATTCTTAATGACGTTATTCCAACAATAGGAGCCAAGAAACACGGCGGGGAGTGTGAAAGAAATTATGAGTTTGTGAATGAGAGTCGGCCGTTTTTATGATTGTCTCCATTTCAATTTGTTGGCCCTGCTGCGGTGAGCAATATTAATAATAATGGTAATAATATTACCACGCGCTGCGCGTAATTCATCTCTGCGTCTTTGGCTGAATGTGCGTGTGCAGCTCAGCTGGAGCAGCAGACTCCAGTCATTAATCCACCCTGCAGGTAGCTGCTGCTGCCACCTCTGCCTCTATGTGCGTCACACATGTAAATGACTTTACCAACATTAGAGACCACATATTAGTTGCATGAGAAAAATAGTCTGTTTATATAGGAGAGGGGCCTGTGCGTGGGCAGGTTGAATGGTAATGCTCGAGTTTCTAACAGTTTGAGTAGTTTATTGGGATTAGTTGAGCAAATAGTTGATATTAAATATATTTATATATTAAGAGACTAAAGAATTCTGCAGAAAGATGAGTTAAAAAAGCATGAAATGAATTACATATATCAAACTACTTTGATTATCAGTTGAGGTAAATTTAAGTCTATTTCCTTTTTACGGATAATTGTCCAGAAAAGAAACATTTACAACCTGACCAAAGTTTTTGTTATACATATGGCGACACAGAGTACTACTGTTTCTGTTCTGAGCTATAGCAATACAATTTAAGCAATTTGGTTAGCCAATTCTCCTCAGCCTGCTTTACAGAAGCTCCAGTTGTGGATTGTCAGTCAATTTTAATTAAAGCAATACAAGTACTTTGAGTAGGTTTGACTTTGATAGTCTTTCATTTCCATGACAATCTTCGTTTTCCAAGACATATTACCAAACAGCCAAATTACATGAAGATTTACCCCCTCTCAACAATAGGTTTCCCTTTCCCTACCCTTCCACTTAATGGGAGTGCACCATCCTTGGTGAGGGAGGGGCAGTTTCTCCAACATCTCTTTACTATTTACCCTTAAAGTATAGCGGAGGATGTTCTTTTTCCAAGTGGATCATCAAAATAAGTGGTCAACCTAATTGTCAATCAGTCTGGTAATATGTTTAAGTCAGGACGTCCTACATGCTTGTAGCTATTTTCACTTACCGGTGGTGAGTCTGACATAGTGGAAAAATAGCAAATCCTCTTTTCAAAAGTAAGCTTGTATGAGCGATGCAAACAGCAACTTTTAAAAAGAGCGAGCACTCAGAGAAATGGGCTGATGCATGCTCTCGCACATGTTTAATAGGCGTTCCCTCTTGGGAGGGCACAAGGTTGTGCATGTGCTTTTTTTTAAGTGGAGAGGTCAGGTCATTTCAAAAATGCAAGAAAATTCTCCACTATACTTTTAAATACAGATTTTTACCTGTGAGAACTGTAAGACTGTAGAGTTTGGGGGTTTATAACTAACTGTGCTTTGATATTTAAAATACCTCCCAATGCTTCCCTTTGCCTTCTTCCTCCAGATCAACAGAGAATAGCTGATATGATATTTGAATTCTGTTTTTTTCAAAACTATACATTTTAGTTTCTTGAGGTATATCTTGCAGAAGTACAATAAAAACAATTTCACAATACTGTAGGAGCAATGAATTCTTTAGAGTAACCGTTTTCTTTTGTGAATATCTTCGACACTGAAGAGTATTGTCAATGCATGGGATTTGCATGTGCAGACATATGCTGACAATATGCTGAGATCCAGCATTCAATAAAAACAACAAAACAAAAGCTTTTTGAGTTTTCAAACTGATTTTTGACACACAAGCTAAGCCGAATTGAAAACCAAACAATTTCAGTGACCAGTTAAGTTCTGCACCTCAAGTCTTCCTGTTGGTGCCCTGGTACTCTCTCAAATTTAACAACATCATGTTAGACCTCTTGGCACATATTTACTGTCTACAAGTTTTCAGTGAGTAAAACTGAGAAAATTAAGAGTGAAAACGCTGTTTCAATTTACCTTAAAAGAGAATGCAGTTGTTCTCCCTTTGCTTGAGTCTCATAAGACTATTGTCAAGCTCAGCCATATAAAATAAGGCAATAAAGCTACACACTCCTTTGCCTTCCCTCTTTGAACGATCAAAGCTCCTTCAGCCACATATCTGGAAGACGTCTCATATAAAGATGCAAAAAGGTCACAATTAGAAGTTAACTTTGGGCAAGCCTGACAAAGTATCTTCAAGATAATGAATAGAAAATACTGTAAAAGTCAGCTTTATTTTGACATTTCAAGAACCCTCTGGCAAGATAAAAGCAATAAAGCGAAAGGCAGAAGAGAATAGAGCGAGTAAACGGGCTCTAAGTTTGACAGAGTTATTGGAGGTCCCAGACTTTTACCTCTGATTTGTGACAAGATGATTTCGACTGTCCTGCTGGGTAACGTATAAACACACATACACTCACAGGTCTTGTGGGGAGAGGTTAAGTGCTTATTTATTTGGAGAGTGGAGTAAATGGTTTCCACTCCCCTCCTACTCTCAAACCTTAAACTGTTAAGTGTAGTGAGCTCACGGGGGGCTTTTTCTGAAGCTCTTCTTCATGCCACTCACCTCTTTGCGTGCTCTTGAAAACACAGATTTAAGCCAAAACTATAGCAGCCAATTGTGGATCTTCACCATTTATTGTTTCTTGAGTATTTCATGATGAATTATAAAAACAACAAAGAAGTCTATTAGTCATGTAATACATGCCTCTTAACCTTCTTGTGTCTCTTAGGTACATTGGTGCTCTTGGGGCTCGTGTAATCTGTGACAACATCCCAGGCCTGGTGAACAAGCAGCGGCAGCTCTGCCAGCGCCACCCAGACATCATGCAGGCCATCGGAGAGGGCACCAAGGAGTGGATCAGAGAGTGCCAACATCAGTTCAGACACCATCGATGGAACTGCAGCACCCTGGAACGCGATCACACCGTCTTTGGACGTGTCCTGCTCCGGAGTAAGTCTCTGCAGTTAGCATGTTCTTCTTGTACCTGCATTCTTTTTATTCTTTCCTTTTGAACCATGGGTGCTATGTAACATGCATGACTAGATGTCAGTGTGTGTGTATTTCTTGCATCTTGTGGCCCCTTTTTTTATAAATCATAGCACATTGTGGGGACCGGCTGCTCTTGTGAGGACTAAAGCTTAGTTCCCATGGGTACAAATGCTGCTTTAGGGTTAGGTTTTAGGTTTAAGATAAGGTGACAGGCTGTAGAAATGGGTTAGAAATGAATAGAGGTCAATGGAAAGTCTCCACAAGGATAAAGGAACGTGAGTGTGTTTGTTTGTGTACTTGTTGATGTTACCTATTTAGGAATATTTTTGGTATATTTACAAAGCATCTGAGAACCAACAGGCCTTGTGGGGACGAACTATGTCCAATGTCTGGGTTGGCCATAAATGCAGTAACCTAAATGAATGTTGGTAAATGTAAAGTCTTAACATGGATATAAATACAAACTTGTTTGTGTGTGTGCATGGTTGCCTGGTGTGCTGCCTAGAGTGTTATAAGTCCCCTGTGCTCAGTAAAGACAAAATGAATGTAGAAAATGGATGAATGGATTGTCATACTGAAAACAGCAGTGGTTCTGAAAAGTGATCGGGCCATAATTTAGTGTGAGTGGCTTATTTGGACTTGCCATCCATCCATCCATCCATCCATCCATCCATCCATCCATCCATCCATCCATCCATCCATCCATCCATCCATCCCTTCCAGACCCCTTCTCAACCACATCTAGACACTAGCAGATATTGTTTTGCAGATGTGTTTTAATCCTCTGCTTTATAACATTCTTTCTCCTTTAAGCTGAACTATACCTAGCATGTTAACTCATTAATATGTTAAACAGCAGGGTTGACATCCAGTTTAGTTTTAGTCTTCAGGATGAAAAATTATTACTTTAAGTCACATTTCAGTCATTACTATACATGATAGTTTTAGTTCAGCTTTAGTCGACTAAAACGCAAAAAGGATTTAGTGTAGTTTTAGTTGGTTTTGTGTTGCAATTCATAAAAATGTAACCTTTACAATTTTTAATAACAGAGAAGGGTTTGTCTGACATTCAAGCACTGATTCCAGCATCTGTGCAGTGTGTGATCTAAAAATCTGATATCTGTAACAGCGGTACTGTTGCTGAATTTCCTCAAAAATGTACAAAAACAGTAGAGAGAATTTCGGTATCCAGCTTTTACCTGCTTGTGAGACAATTGTCACGGTTGCTTGGCGATAGCCGGAGAAGGCTAGACCTGTTTGAATCTATAGCTGAACTCTTCCAGCCCCCTTGCTTTAAGTCCAGCCAGAACAAGGGGAGGACACAGCCGCTGAAATCAAACACACCCAGTTTGTCAGAGTTGAGCTTGCGGTACCTGACCGTTCTGACTTATTTCTGCCGCTGCTAGTCCATCTGTGATCATGCAGAATGGGCGCCGCTGCACGCCCAGTCGTGGGCATGACCAAGCAGAATGCAACAGCATGGCTGGTACTATTTAGCCTTTTGACTAAGAGATTACAGCACAAGGATGCATTCTAAACGTGTGGCAGACCACACACTAACATCTTAGATCAGTCTCATCACATAGAATAAACCCCACACCCACGACTCATCATGTTTACGTCATCAAAACTCCATGTTTAGCTCATCAGTTCTTGTTATCGTCATGAAAAAAAGAAACGTCAATGAATTAAATAAAACAATAATGTTACACAGGCACTCATTTTCTTTTTTTAGTTTGGATCATTTATCATGTCATTCTCCTTATGGGTCACCAACTTTTAATCTCAATTTAAAGTATTGGAATTAAATCCTATTTCTAATCCCTGCAACAGTTGTGCACTGGTTAGCGACAAAGAAGAAATAAGTTTAAAAGACCAAAAAAATGCTCAACTAATTAGCTGCCTTCTAATTTCTAAATAACACATTAGGACTCAAAAGGAATTAGACAAGATAAAAAAAGAATAAATTTGGATATCGGAAGGTTGTCATTGTCAGTAAAACGCAGGTAAAGGAAGAGAATTGGTGCGAACAATTTCATCCTTTTTTTTATTTTGGGTGCTTAGCTCCTAATACCAAATAATCTGGATAACCAGCATTCAGTAGTCTCTATTTAATTTAATAGGGGCCACAGAATACATACTGGCTACAAGCGGTCATTAGCTCAACTGTTCTGGTCTTAAATAGGTGGCTGATTTTAGCCGGCTAATCCAAAAGATAAATGTAAACAATATGAGGAACATTGTAAAAATAATGTTAAAGAATCTGGAGGAAGATTTTTTTCTTCCCTTTCACCGTTTTGCATTTTTGCAGTTTTTGATATTCTCAAACTTCATTTTGGTGTGGTTCCATCCCAGCTGACATCAGGAAATTTAATTATTGTAGAGGAGTTTTTGAAAGGTTACATGTTTTAGAAGGCCTAAAAGGGATCTAAACAAGTTTCTATGGAAATATGGTTTAATTCAGTCGTTGAAATTATGCTTTAGTTTAAGTTAGATATTCATGAAGATTCCTGTATCGTTTTATCACTTAGAAAGATAACCATAGTTATTTATAACAAAAAAGAAGGTTGGAATTGAAGTGGCAAATTGATTTAGTCTATGTTCCGCTATCCTTTTTATGTTGTCAGGACATAAACTGTCTTCTGAACATAGCAAGCTTTAATGGGGGTTGGCAAAAACATTTGTTGCTTATACAAAATATTTAGTATTGTCCACATCAATCTGTTTTCCAAGACGTTTCTTTGAAGCACTTTAAGATGTTAGTTCAGGCAGAACAAAAAATGTGACGGTCATCTTATATTCAGATTCTTACGTCAGCTGACTCCTAAAGATTGTTATTGAGCGTGGTCCAATCATCCTAAGCATGTGTGGGGGCCGTGGAAGCACGGAGGAAAGTGAAAGATATGAAGACACTCACCCTGCCTGCATGTCTGTTTGTGAGCTGTGGGGGAAAGAAGGGGTGAGAGGAATAAACAGTAATGTAGATGTAAATATTTAGAGATATTCTCACTGTCAGGCAAACAGCGCAGTTTTGAAAGATGACCAGCGATGCCCTCGTCAGTGCTCTCCCACATACATCCCTTATGCATCCTCTGCCTCTAATTCCTCACCTCCAAGAGTGAGCGGGACACTTTGGTGAATAAACAGTGCAACCAGTTTATGCACTGCAGTCTATACCACAGATATGGCTTAATAATAATTTTATTTTATTTTTCTTAAAAATTTAATAGTTATTCACATCTTTTGTTCAAAATATAGACATTACATTTAATAGGCAAAAAAAGAAGAAAAAATAATAATTTAGTGAAGAAAACATAACATACACATATCAATAAATTAGACTCTTGGTTGTTTCGATATTTAAACATACAAATACATTTTTGGTATGCTGCCAGTGTAAACAGCTGCATAGGTTAGAATAAAGGCTCATGGGGCCAAATCAATTCGGTCCGTTATCTTATTTGGACTGGGGATGCAAGATAAGAAGATGATAGATTGGACAAAAATGCGGCTGAGATGCATTACAAGTCAGCAACGTTAAATAAAGGTTTAAACCTTTGGGAGCTGGGTGTATTTTGGAAGTGATGTGCTAATCTATTTATTACATGCCTGTATATGGGAAACTTACATGAAACACTGATAGTTGTCCTAAAGGAAATGCTTTATTTTAATTTTTTTATAGAAAGGATTAATTTGTAAACATTAGGTGTTATTAGCAGTTTCTTATGACTGGAACAACAGGATGCACACCAGATCGTGAAGAATAATGTCTATAATTGCAAAACTGATTCAAACCAAACTATTAAAAATTCTGAGATAAGGCCTTAAATATAGTGAAATATATTTAATAGTTGTTTGAGTATATAAGCAATGAAATGATTTGTGTTTTATGCTGTTGCTTTCGCAAAGGGACACCTACAGTACATTAGGATCTGGCTTTTTACTTTTATCCAAGAAACCGGCTTTTAATGCAGGTTTCTTGTTTTCAAAAGACTTAAAGGCTTAGTTTGATCTCTTTGTTGTGTTTACGTCACTTTGCTCATAGAAACTCTGCGAAAAGCAACCATGGCCAATCACTACATAAAAATGTCCATTTGCTTTCAGCCTCATGATGCGTGAGTCATGTTCTGGGGAACCAGCAAAGAACAGATGAGCAGTGCAGTGGTAGATAATGTTCTCATGACATCACCCTGGTGCTGATAAATGGGGTATCACAGTGTCTGTATTTAAACAATTTATGTGAGAAGGGGAGAGCCCCACAGCGGGGATTATTTCCATGATAATATTTAAACAGAGCTGCCCTTTACTCCACATCAGGGCTGTTTTTCTCAGTCAGATGCACCTTCATGTCCTTATGGCTCAAAGCTACGTCTGTGATGATAGTATATGCGTTTTTGTATGCATAACATATGGGGCTACAATGTTGTTTTTGTTTCATGCAATATTTATTGTAGAGTATACTGTAGGTGAAAGCTCGATTATATCCTCATCTTATTTTCTATCTTTGTTTTGTCCCCCTCAGGCAGTCGTGAAGCAGCTTTTGTCTACGCCATCTCCTCCGCAGGAGTTGTGTACGCGCTGACTCGTGCCTGCAGCCAGGGGGAACTGAAGTCGTGTAACTGCGACCCTCAAAAACGAGGACGTGCTCATGATGAAAAAGGTGAATTTGACTGGGGTGGCTGCAGCGATAACGTCAACTATGGAATAAAATTTGCCAAAGACTTCATTGATTCCAAAGAGAGAACTGTCAGGGACGCTCGGGCACTCATGAACCTTCACAACAACCGCTGCGGCAGAACAGTAAGTGGATCATCTTGCTGTAATTAGAAGGGTACAGTTGCAAAGGATGTGATGTGTTAGTTAAAAAACACAAAAGAATGAGCAAATAAACAGACTTTTGTGAACTGCTTTTACTTTGAGACAAAGCTCATATATATGTGATAGCCAACTTATTTCTTAAGGTTACCCAGCTACGACGATACTACGATGCTTGTTTAAGGTTTTAAAATAAACATTTCTCTTAACTCATAAACAACATTAACTCATTAACAGGGTACTTCTCATAAAATTGCATTACAACAACTTAAACACCATCTTCTACACTTTTGATCACTTTACCCAAATTGAATTAGATGTTTTTCTTAGTTTTTTTTGTTTTTAGCTAGTGTATGTTCAGTATTGATATCTGTCTTTTTTCTTTGAACATCTGCAATTCTTAAGTGCACACTGGAAACACTGATCTGTGTTCTAAATATAAAGCTTAGTTTCTATATTACTCTTATTTACAAACTGCAAGCAGAGGAAGATTTGTTCCTAAAATAGCTCTACCACTTATCTCTGTCATCAGTTTTAATAATCAGTCATATTTAAATAAGGCATTGCAGTTGGATAAAGAGGAAAAAAATCTCTTCGTTCATTTACATTTATGTAAGACCAATAGATGTAACCGACATCACTGCTCTCTGAAAAACACTGATTCTAAAAGAAATAAATTATTCTGAAGCTGCTGATGATGTTCACAGGGAATAAGAGAAATTATGAGTTACAGGAAAGTGAAGCTTGTAAGAAATCATAATTTTTTTGTTTTTTGTTGAATTCCAGTTAGGTCATAGTGACAAAATAGCTGTTTCATTTCTCCCTTGTGTGTTGCACAAACAGAATACGTTTCAAACTTTGTTTAAAGGAATCTCTGTTCAGCACAAAATGTCAAATTGAATTTTCATAGGTTTTAGTATTTAAATTTTGATTATGAAGCATTAAAATAGCCACCCAGATCCTAATATTAGCAGCATGGTTTTATTTTTGGTGTAGAGAAGCATTATTATACCGTCAAATACTCCATTGTTTCATTTATAGACCAAATACTCACAATGTTTTTGATAAATGATGTTTATACCAAAAACAATGGCGTCTAAACAAAAGACTTCACTTTGATGGGGAACTTTTTTAATATTGCAATATACTGTAGCACAGCACAGGAGATGCCTTTAGGGATTTTTGCTTCTCTATGCCATTGTACTCAGGATAGGGAGGGGAAAAAAGAGGAGATGGCGAGTGAGTGCAAAGCCTTACAACCCTTCTTTGGGTTGGGATGATTCTTTTCTGCTATACACTATGCTTTAGTGGAAAAAAAACAAAAACATTCCCATGACTTTATTCCAAATGGGATTTCTCTTTGAGATTGTGAGATTTCAGACAGATTTCACTGGACTCACCGCTATGTTACAGTTGCGTTTGGTCCAGTGAAATCTGCATTGGGAATGCATTTCATATATTACACAGGTCATGTGTGCAAAACATGTCCAAAGAATTTTAGTAACTGGATTCCTAGGTGAATTTGCGCATTCTGCTTAAAAAAAATACATTTGAACGTTATTTCCTCAAATGCACCTCAATATTATTACAGGCAAGTTAGTTGTGTTTTTTTTCCCCCAAGATTTGAAGGCAGGGACAGGGGTTTCCCTTTGGGCAAGGCAAGGCAAGGCAAGGCAAATTTATTAGTATAGCACAATTCAGTACAAAGACAATGCAAAGTGCTTTACATGATTAAAATACAGGAAGATAAAACAGAATCAAAGCAAGTAGGAAAAAAAATAGGTTAGTTTTGTGAAATATAAAAGCATATTGCATTACGTTTAAATCTAAAAAAATCCAAACCTCTTCGTGCAGGCAGTGAAGCGCTTCATGAACATGGAGTGTAAATGCCACGGTGTGAGTGGCTCCTGCACTCTGCGGACATGCTGGATGGCCTTGTCGGACTTCAGGAAGACCGGCGACTACCTGCGGAGGAAGTACAATGGGGCGGTTGAGGTGACGATGAATCAGGATGGGACAGGTTTTGCTGTAGCCAACAAAGCCTTCAGGAAGGCCACCAAGAACGACTTGGTGTACTTCGAGAACTCTCCGGATTATTGCCTCCAAGACAAAGCAGCAGGTAAGTGAGTATAGGGGTCGGGACTAAAAGACAGAGGGGTAGTTTTTCATGGATGTTGATGGATTGCCCAGACTCCCTTATGTTTTAGGGGTGCTATTTATGTGTTTTGTGTATGCTCATGCATGACTGGTGGGTTTTGTGATCATGAATGTCAGTGTGTGTGTGTGTGTGTGTGTGTAGACGTGTGAGTGTGTAATAGTATTCAGATAACACAGCAGGCCTCCCCTGTGATGTTGGTGGAAGTTAATATCCTTGTACCCTGAGGACATGGTTGTTCTGTGGCCAACTGACCTCTGTCAGTCTGTCAATTCACACACACACATACATACCCCACCCCATGCTCAGGAGATGTTTCGATCCCTCTTCAAACAATCTACCTGATCAGGTATAAAAGTCTGGATGATAGATTAAAAAACACCGTAAACTTTTCTGCATTTAGCTGACATCACTCTGCAGCCCTTCCAGCTTTTCCATGCACTCTGTCATTTTGTCTGCCTGTCCGTCCGTCCCCTCACCCAACCTTCTCTCTGTCATTCTCACCTTCTCACTGGAATCCACAGCCTAGGGACACAAGCAGCTAATTTAGAAAAAAAAAGTCACTTCTCTGTGTCTGTCACAGTCTTTCTCTCTCTCTGTCTGTCTGAGCTAAGCGTAGCTGGAGGGCAGAGTGGGCCTCAGAGTGTGAGAGCCTGTCTGTCTGTCACGCTCCACTGTCCATTTAACCCTCACGCACACACACAGAGGTGCTTCAAAGGGAGCAGTGGCTTGGGAAAGGCAGTGTAACTACGGGCCGCTCTACCAACACCACATAGTTGTGTGTGTGGGTCTGTTGTTCTACGGGCTGCTTGTTGTGATAGGTAGCAGTTCAAAAAGGGAGCTTCTCACACCAAACATGAACACTAATCTCTGTGGGGATGACATTCACACAAGACTTGGACAATATACCGCTGCATTGGGTGGTAGCCAGACTGCCTAGCCTTACACGGCATTCATCACCATTGACGGGCGTTTTAAATTGATTTGGCATCATAACCACACATACTGAAACTCAAAGCACCTTAAGTACGTTGCACTCAGTTCACCAGAAACAGTAAAAGTTTCAGCAACAATGTGTGACTTTTACTACAAAAATGGAACTAAAAAGAAATAAAGACACCTTAAAATAAATGTTTGCCCTTAAATTGAGTGGATAAATTCGAACAGCTGCCGATGTAATGGGTATTTTTACCTTTAAAATAAGATATTTAGATATTATTCACTTTAAATAAGATAATGGAGAAATTCTTATAAGTTTCTCACATAAATGTGATTCAACATATTCCATTCCATTTTCTAATAATATTTTTTACTATATATATATATATATATATATATATATATATATATGTAAGTTGGCTTGCATTTTGGTTTTATTGGTGTGACTCTCAAAAGGATTGGACTAACTGTCTCAAGGTAGAATAATGAATTCCCCCAGGATTTCTTGTATGCAACATGGACATGATCATCCTTGAAGACAAGACTGACAATATCTGGGCTATCAGATTAAACAATAAGGAGCAAGCAATGTGGAAAAGTTTAGTGCCTAAGGATCAAAAACATAAATGCGTTGCATGCAGATTTGGGAAATGCTGTGCCAGTTAATTCTTTTAGTACACGTGGGTATTATTATTGAGAGATAAATCATACAATAATTTTTACTTGTCCCAATGAATATTCAGTAGAAATGATATTTTAATGTAAACAAACCCCAATGTCTTGCAAAAGAATTTGAATTCAATCACTTAATAATTCCCAATGCCACCAATGGCAAAAGTATTGTATGTCAGGTCAGGCCTCCTTGTGAAAAAGCTAGGTTATAAAACAATATTCTAAGTTTTAAATATCTCATGGAGATCAAGTCAGGCCGTCTTCATTTTAAATTGAAAGAAGGATGACAGAATCACAGATGTATTGTATGTATTGTATGTATGTATGTATGTATGTATGTATGTATGTATGTATGTATGTATGTATGTATGTATGTATGTATGTATGTATGTATGTATGTATGTATGTATGTATGTATTGTATGTATTGTATATCATTCATTTAAGTTGACAGGCTGAGCAATAAGAGCATTAGTGGCGTTTGCAGCCAAAAGGCCATGGTGACATATAAAACTGCAGAAATTCACTGCTTAGGTGGGATAGTCTGCTGGTGGGGGAATCTTTAGTATTCAACCTCACCTTTGATCTTCCAAATGCATTCCTTTCAAAATAATTCAGAGATTTGTTTATAACCTGACAAATGAAAAAAAATCTCAAGAGGTACAAATACATTTGCAAGGTGCTGTATTTCTTTTTATTCCATATATGTAATATGTGGAATAAAAAGTGTATGTATAATCTTCTCTAAACTTCATGTTTTAAGGACAAAATATATATATATAAAAAAAAGCATACTTGCAGAAATATTTAACAATCATTCACAAAAATGTTAAAGTTTACACTAATAAACTCCATTTAAACTCTCTGCACAGGTTCTTTAGGCACTGCTGGGAGGGTCTGCAACAAGACATCTCGGGGCACGGACGGATGTGAGGTCATGTGCTGTGGGAGAGGATACGACACCACCAGAGTCAGGCAAATCACTAAGTGTGAGTGCAAGTTCAAATGGTGCTGCGCAGTGGAGTGCAAGGACTGCGAGGAGGCTGTGGACATACACACGTGCAAGGCCCCAAAACGAGCTGAGTGGTTGGACAAAACCTGAGGAGCCATTGTCCTTGTTTACCATCAAATGCTGCCCCCCCAAATAGCCCTTTGCAGGACACGGTATGGAACGTGGCATTCTGGGAAAGTCTGAGCAAGAGTGATCTGCATCTCTGCCCCCAACCTTGTTTCATCATTGCATGGCTTTTTTTTGTTGTTGTCCCCGTCTGTGAAAGCACTAGAATATCCATCATATTGATTCAACACACGTACCCTCCTGTTTGTGAATGTGATTAAGCTGATGGAGTAAACTGAACTGTAACAGTCAAGAATAGCAATTTAATCACATTTTGATCCACATATCCATTTTTGCTTGTGTGTCATACTACATTTAAATGGTTTGCTGCTTTTGTGATACGTTAAAAACAGATGTTACTTGAGCCTTTTAACATATCCAGTATTATTAACAGCATCGTATCATATACTCACATACCTTTGCTTTGTTTTGTTTATTTTTTTGTGTTTTTTTTGTCTTTTTGGGGGAGGATGCTGAACTTCAATCTATTTAGGAAAAAAGGAAAAATCATGCTTGGTTTGACTGTGAACAGTACATTCTAAAGTGCAATTCAAGATGTGTTTTTTAAAACATGTATTATGCAACGCATGGCCAAACAAGTGTCCAGAGAGAGAGGACTGATTGAAAGGACAACACATGAATTTAAGATAATGGACAAATACATCACTGGAGCATAGAATGACACTGTTTAAAGGAGACAAAAACTTTAAGTGGATTATTTAAATTGTAAAGTGTTGTTTCATTCCTCATCTGCTGATGAGACTGCACTACTTTGGATGATGCAAGGAGGGAGAAGAGCACTTGCATTACTGTGATTATACAGTGAGTTTTAGTTTTTTGTGTGATTATAAAAATGTGCTGCTCAGAAGAAGACAAAGAAAACTGAGGCCTTGGTGGGTCACCCTTCAACCATGACATCCGCAGGTTTCACCTCTCTGCTTTCAAGCTTGCTTGTATAACATTTTGTATACTGCGCTATCTAAAAAGATGTTCCTATAAAGTATATGCTGAATTGGTTTGCTGCTGATTTTTAAATCACATTTGCGTAAATAATAGTAGGTAGAGTGAAATGACCTTTACCAAACAGTACAAAGAGCATTTTTGTATTTCAAAGCGAAGAATAAGCAGTGTTTCTGAAATGACAGAATATGACAATAGAGTACTAATAATATGAAGTATAGTACTATGCAAATGCTTTAAATTAGCCCTTTCTGTTTCCCAATATGACTTCAAGATGCTGAGGCTTCTTTTAACATTAGAAGTAGTATTGATAAATGCTTTGTTTAAAGTTTCCATGTCTTTAGTCCAGTACAGTGGTCTCCCCCCCTGGTCTATAAGGCTTTAGGTGTTTCAGATCTGTGTCTGCCCCAAACGCACCCAAATCAAATGCTTGCCGACACCAAAGGCTGAAGAAGCTTCTTAATTACCCATATATTTAAACCAGGTATGTTGTGGCAGGGAAACTAAAACATACAGTACAGTGGCTCCAGATATTTCAGCAAATACCAATGAATGAATGATAGAAGAAAGTCATCTACCTTCAATTTATGTCCTAAATGTTCATTTAACAGCCTATTTTGAGTTCTAAACGAAGGTGTGAAGATTTTTTTTCCCATGGCCCATCATACTATTTTACTGCTAAACTGTGAAGATAAATAGCTTTATGTAAATAATTTTGCAACATTGCAATTTGCATTCATCCTAAAATGTGGCATATATAATTTGATGATAAGCTTTAACAAACCATTTTTTCTAGTCTTTGTTAAAGGTGCCCAGTCACATACCACTGTATGACTATACCAAAAAAACTACACCCATATGTTCATGTTGAAATAAAGCAATATATGGCAATTATCCTTCTTGATAGTTTTTACTTAGTCCTTGTTGGCCATGAAAATAATTTTTGCACTGGGCTTAATCATCAGACATAAATATTGTTGTAAACTGCTGCTGTCGGCTGACTGTGTACACATCCATCAACTTTCCAGCCTTATCAGCTTAGGTTCTCATCTCACTGAAGACCTACATTCATATTGTATTCCCAGCACTGATCCTGTCTTATCCCTTTTAGCATCAAGAGGAATAAGATGCTTTTTTAATCTTTGGACTTTCTTTGGAATCTTGGACTTTTCCTTTTTTATTTTACACCTCCGTTTGAAGTTGCTGAGCAAACTTACTTTGTTGGCTAGCAATATCGTCCCTCCAGTCATGTTATCTTGTCATGCCAAATGCTCAAAGTGGTTGTTGACAATCTTAAGCCTTTCACAAGATAAACCCCAATTGTTTTATTATTAAGATATAGAAAATAAAGGTTGTTGTCATTGCATATTTTTACAAAAAAAGAACATCAGAGCTGTTCTGAGAACTAGCTAAAAGACTTACATGAAAAAAGTGAGATAATAAATCATTAACCTCAAATTCTTAATATCAAACATCCAAATTGTTATATTGTATTTAATGCACCAATCACCTAACAACGTCTTCGTTTCATAAGTCAATTGAAATGGGCATTTGTTCTCTAAAGGGACTGCAGCTGTTAGCTTGAGCGGTTTCTCAAAGCTTTTTGTTAAAAAATATATCACAAAGCTATGCCCTTGTTGACTTAAATCTCAAACTGTTGCAACATCACAGTAGCAACATGCAGGAATACAATTAACACAGGAATACACGTTCAGAAAGCTGTTCATTAAGCTATGCATGAAGGGGAGAGAGAATAAGGCAAAAATGAAAGGGGAAGTTGACCTTAAAAAAAACCAGCATGGACTGAGGGTTCAGCATTTTGATTTAAAAAAGCGTCCCAAAAACAGTTTCAGGAAGCAGCTCTGCCATCTAACCGGTGTTATGTTGTGCAGGTGTGGGAAACCCCATGCTCCAACAAAACTGATCTTAAGCGCCGTAACATATGATGTACTTATAGATTATGCTCTAATATCCTCTTGGAAACTTTACCTAAACTTAAAGGCTGGTTACAGTGCTTGACTCATTTACATTCCCTGTGTATATGAGACATGCAGAAAGTTGGGATTGCAGCAAACTCTAGAAGGGAGTGTTTACCTTGCATGCTAGATGAATTGTCATGCAATTTGGATATTCAAAAACTCACGAAAATGCATCATGCCATAGGGTAATAGATGCATTATTCAATATATGTATTATTTATATAGGAATGTTTGCAAAGTCCAATGAAATCCAGTGATGTGTACGACGTTAACGTGTCAACAAGAGGCGGAAGGCTGAAGCAAAATAAAGATGGCTGCAGTGGTTTTAGCTGAAACCCTCTTTTACTTTTGAAAAAAAAGGTGCAGAAGAACGTAACTTTTGTCTCTTGTGGATGGAAAGACGGTTGCGTGTTCCTCTCAACCGGATTTAGTAACAGTTTGATTTATCAGTTAACGCCGCTAGTTCTGAAATAAATCTAAAACTTGATTTGTTAAAGCTGCTACTGTTGCTGTGATAGGCTAATTAGCTCGAAGAATTTAACTGAATGTATCTTTCTTTTGCAGGAGGCTTTCCAGATTCATACTGTGTATGATTCAAGTTCAACTACACTTATCAATTTAGTTTATGCTAGGTTATGGGAGTTTAATGAACCAACTGCAACTATGAAGAATTAGGAGGACCACATTTTACATCAGCATACAGCATCGTTGTGTCTTTTTTACTCTTTTTACTCTTGTCTTGTTATGCCCGATCGTTAAGCCAATTAAAATAGGGTGACCAAACGTCCGTATTTCCCGGGACATATCCGTATTTCACGTCCTGTCCCGGGCGTCCCGGGTTTTTTTTTAAAGTGAGGAAATGTCCTGATTTCACTGCGCACGACGCTCCGTGTGACGTAATCCCTGAGCCGCGTCAGTGCGGGCAGCCCTGCTCTTAATCAGAGGCTCTGTTCAAAAACCTGGGCTGCATCCTCCAAGGACGCGGTCTACCTAGACTGGATCCTTCGAAGTCCTTGAAAATAAAGAGTTCTGTCTGTAAATTCGAACAGGTCCTCCCTTCGGCGGGTTTTACCGCCGTATGCTCTGTTGCTTAGCAACCGTGAAAGTTGACACACAAAGCAGGAAAAGAATGAATACCGAGGTTTTCAAAACTGTTTGTTTATTTATTTATTTTTTTTAAAGTTAAAGTGAACAAAGACTACACTCACAAGAATCCAGAGCGGAATAAAGGTTCCAACCACTGGGAGCAGGAACAGATCAAATCAAATGTAATGATAGAAACCTTAGTCAGTTAAATAACATGCTGCTGTCATTCTGCACATCTCTGATGTTGCTGCTATTTTCAAATATCCATTATTGTAAAAATGTCCATAGCTGCATATTGGTTATTTATTCTCCAGTTTTATATTGTTAAAACACTTTACAGAATTTTATTTTTTATATTTTAACTCTTCCCTATTATGTTATTCTTATACATTTCTCTAAGGTCCTCATTTGTGTGACCATTTTCAATAATCTTTTTGCTGCTGTAAATCTGCCCATTGTGGGACAATAAAGGGATTTTCTATTCTATTCTATAAAAGGGTTAGAAATATATAAGTAAATCTAAACAATGTATCTACAAAATATATCTGCAAAATCTCTAATATTCAACAACAAAAAATACTTAGTTAAGCATATTGTGCAAAACAACAATAAAAAAATTAAAATCCTATCAGATTTATAGTTCCCACTCTGTAGATCTATTAGAATCTGTCCTTAAATTACAGCCAAACTCATTTACACAGTAAACCTTTAGATAAACCAAACATTACCGCCACATATCTGACTCAATAACCATTAAAACAACTATTTTCATTAATTTCAGACGGAACTATTCACAGAGTTGTATTATTATATTAAACTGAACTTCAAATTTTCACAACTGTTCTGCGCCAAGTAACATTTCCTCTGATCACGGAGCAAATCCCGATGATGAGACATTTGTTCTTTCAATCAACCCCCCCCCCCCCCCCCTGGTTTTCCCAAATGAAAATATGGTCACCCTAAATTAAAATGGCTTCTGAACACAGGTCAACATTTAAGCCTACACAGAACCTTATCCAAGCCCTTACCTCCGAGTGTACGGTTTTCAGGCTTAAAACGGATATGATTACTGAGAAATAGATCAAAATCAAATTATAAAACTCATGAATTAAATAAAACAAGCCAAAAAGGCACCATAATTTAGCCCGAAAGGGTTAAAATGCCACCAGGGTGTTACAAGATCATGGTCTCTTAATTGGTAAATCAATTTTCTACCAACATAGAAATTTGTAAAGACAGTAGGTGACGTAATGGCTTTATAGATTCCCTTACAAGAGCTTTGTGACCAAAAATATCATACTCATGCTGTGTGTCTGTCACTCCATATGTAAGCATTGTTGCCTCTTGGTGTGGCTCCAAAGTGTTTTTTTTTTGTTGACAAATTAAACTTACAGGATTGTTTTCAATCTGTGTACAGAGCTTCAAACATTTAACCCAAGATTGTCAGCTGATCATTTAAGCATGACTAAAATAAACAAGACATGAACATCAAGACTAAAGTCCTCATTGGTGAATTAGCTGAATTATCCAATCCAATCCCATCCACTTTATTTATATAGCACGGTTTAAATAAACACAAGGTTTCCAAAGTGCTGCACAAAAAGATAAAATAACTAAAATAAATAAAAGTAAATAAAATAAAATAAAATAAAAGCACTGCCCGCACAGGATAAAAATATGCATGTGTATACATAAAAATTACAAAACATTAGTTCATCATAGATGACACACATTACTCATCTGCATGACAGGTCTTGATGTTTCACAAAATGTGATTTACCGTTTTATATTTATGCTCCGATACATGTCACAAGATAAACTGCCTGACAGCAGTTTTTGTATTTTTTCTTAGAATCAGTTGCAGAAACAGCAATTACTTGAGTTTTAGCAGACATTAGTAACATGTAACCAAACGTTATTTAGTATAGTCTCATTACTAAGTTGTTTAAATACCATCACTGTTTGACCAGTTCATCCCTTTAGTATAGAAA